ATAGGCTTTCCAAAAAGCTAAATTTTATCAAAATCTGACAAGTGAAAGTGGGTCAAAACAAAGATTTAGTTTGCTACAGGCAAAAGCAGTCATTCAGGCAGTGTGCCTGAGGACTCAGGCAGTTAGTATTAAAGCCCGGTTTTAGGCGTAAAGGGAGGGCTTTGGGTATGTAAGAAAAGTCAGAAAATTTCAACAGCCTCACACCAATACTTTTTGAGTTATGTAAAAAAAACTACAGGGGGGGGTCAAATTGACCCCCCCCCCCAGCGGGAATAGGGTTAACTAAGTATGTTCTCAACCTAATTTTCTAGACCTTTGATATACCAAAACTGTGAATTCAGCTATATCTAATAGCCAAGTTTTAAATAAAAATTTTTTTACAGTATCAGGTTGTAAAGACATTTGAATTCTAAATTAGAGATTGAAATTGAGTTTTTTTGTTTCAAAGATCGTTTCCTTCATGAGATCTGCAGGGAAAAAAATAATGCTTGAAAACATGCAGCTTTTAACCTAAAACGAAATTTCATGTTAAATGTAAAAATATTTCTGAAGGATGAAAGTAAATGCATAAACTGACAATGACAACAAAGACAAGGTCAATTCATACAGACAATAGTTTTCAATATGAAGACCGGCTTGACCGGTGTAGTAAATATTATGCTAGCTTATTTTACAGATTAAAGAGGAAGAGAGAGAGTTTTTAATTCATTCAACGTATAGGTTAGCCAGTAGCCTTGAATGTGTGCATGGATAAGTATCGTACTTAACTCTCCCGAGTCTCAAGCTCAACTGAGAAACATAAACTTAATTCGTGTAGAGGTGAAACCATACAGGGGAAATAATAAAGTTAAAAATAAAAGAAGTTCTTTAACTTGGGAAACTTCTTTTTTTTATAAATTGTATTTATACTTAAATTGTTGACCTTAATTACCCCTGTGCGCCGCGGACGCCGTGTAACTAAGCAGTATAAGGTCGGGTGCATGCGGGCGGATGGATGGATTCAGTTTTTGCAATTTTTATGATTTCTCAAATGTTGCAATCAAAAGTGGGTTTCACTCACAGAGTTAATAGAGAGAGATAGAAGCTATTGCATACATTGAGTTTTAAATATTTCAAACAGTAGCTGTTGCAGTTGGTAAAATACTATTTGACACAGTATCTGTTGCTGTTGGTAAATTAATATTTGACACAGTATCTGTTGCTTTTAGTAAAATAATATTTGACATAGTATCTGTTGCTGTTGGTAAAATAATATTTGACACAGTATCTTCTGCTGTTGGTAAAATAATATTTGACACAGTATCTGTTGCTGTTGGTAAAATAATATTTGACACAGTATCTGTTGCTGTTGGTAAAATAATATTTGGCACAGTATCTGTTGCTGTTGGTAAAATAATATTCCTCTATTTTGGGACTGTAAACTGTCCACGTGATATCAAGCGAACCATCATGTGTTTGGACAAAAATTACGAAGATTTTCTTGTTTTCTATAAGAAAATTGATAATTTTCAAATGTAGTTTATCTATTATAATGCAACAAAGACTAAGCTTACGACAAACTATAGTAATCTGCACGAAGGATTAAAAACGTTTTTATCATAACTTCTTTAATTAAAGAGGTATTAAGAGAATTTAAATTATTTTGAATTGCTAATATGTAACCAAATAAATTTACTTTTTTCCTACTTTTGCGTAAAATCAAGACTAAAGTAGAAACGAGATCACAAAGTCATATAGAAATGTTTATTTACTTTGACCTTCTCCTTTTGGTTAGTTTAGTAAATGAAGGACATTAACAGAATTCAACATGTTTTGAAATAAAAAACACGACACTGTTGTTCAGATTAAGGGTAACGTTGTAAAACAGGTATGCACATTTTTAATCCCTATCACATTGACAGTCTCTTTAACTCCGGACCAACTGTTTTCTAGCGCAAACTATGATATTAGTTTTACAAATAATTTAAGTATTTAAAGTCGACTTTTTCACTCTTTACCTATAGTGTACACAGCCAATCGTTTTACATATTGGACTATTTGTTAATAGTAAATCTTTACAGATAAGATATTTTGTTTTTAAAAAGTTTCCCCCCTTTCTTTGATTCTATATGACCTTTTAGCTCTCATGAAATTTATTACCATGACAAACTTTATTTCAATGTATTATGTGCGGTATTACATAATTGGTTTATGCTTCTCTTATTGCTTAATAGATTCGACGAGGAAACATATTTTTCTATACTTATATTCTTTATTTGTTTATTCGTAAAAACAAATCAATTTTTCAGCATCAGGAGTTTTCTGATCAAGATTTAAAACTTTTAAAGCTAATATTTTAAATTGTACCGTTCTGAATAATCACTACGATACACCGAATTTTACTTGAAAATACAGTCGTTGATCAGCAGATTGGAATTATAGTTAGAGATGGGCGAGTTCTGTTTTTTTTTCATTCGGTCGTTCATTGTTCGTTATTGACCTAGTTCCGTCGTAATTTTCTATTTCGTTTGTTTTTAATTAACGTTCGTTCTGCAAAATCATTTGTTCAGTAAAATCGTTCGTTCATTAAAATGTGTCGTTTAGTAAAATGCTGGGTTAGGGTCGGCTGGGTTGGGCAGGCTTTCAAACAAAAAATTCACACACAATTTTTTAATCGTTCGTGGACGATCAAGTTTGTAAATGATTTAGAAATCTTTGGTTCACAGTCTGACTGAAATAAAATGCAAAACATCGTCAACGAGTTTAAATCTTTTTGTTTTTTTTCGTTTTTTAACTTCTCTGCGCG